CACCATGCACGTGATCGTGGCCTGTGGGCGGTCCCGCCTCGCCATTGGTCGAGAGCGCAGCACCCGGTTCCCAACAGCCAATGGCAGCGATCGGACCACGAGAGGCACCGCCCCCTGGGCGCGCTGGGCGCGGCTGCCGGGGCGCCATTTTTGAATTGGGCAAGAAGTGCGCATGCGCAGATGCTGCCGGTGCTCCCGGTACCTGCTCGCGGTTCCCGGTACCGCTCCCGGTACCGCTCTGCCCCCGGTACCGCTCTGCCCCCGGTACCGCTCTGCCCCCCAGTGTTCCCCGGCCACCTCCCAAATTCCCTGTAACCTTCACTTCCCAGCCCTCCCAATATCTCCAGTGTCCTCGGAGCCCACCTGGATCCCTTCAGTGCTTCCCCGCGGAGACCAGGCGTGGATGAAACTGCCTTTATTGAGAAAAATGGTTTGCTACAAATACGTCATCCAGTTAATTCTTCAAAAAACAGGACGGCTCATTAAAAGTTCTAATTATGCTAAAAAGTGGTGGGTGATGCACTGGTGGGCACGGCCGGCGGGATCCGTGGATCCACGGCCCTGAGGGATCCCCAGCACACAGTGATCTCTGGAACAGCAGAGAGATCCCTGGCACAGCACACAGAGATCTCTGGAACAGCACACAGAGATCCCTGGCACAGCACACAGAGATCCCTGGCACAGCACACAGAGATCTCTGGAACAGCACACAGAGATCCCTGGAACAGCACAGAGGGATCCCTGGCACAGCACACAGAGATCTCTGGAACAGCACACAGAGATCTCTGGAACAGCACAGAGAGATCCCTGGCACAGCACACAGAGATCCCTGGCACAGCACACAGAGATCCCTGGCACAGCACACAGGTGTGGCCCCTCACACCTGGGGCCTTAAAGTGCTTTACAAAAGCAGCTCTTGCTGCCCCTGCTCTGTCTCTGTGGGGCAAGGAGGAGGAGAGAGGGAAGGAGAGTGCTGGCCCAGCAGCCGGGAGCTCTCATGGAGCAGCAGCTGAGGGTCCCAGCTGAGCACAGGACAGCTCCTGGGTCCCTCCTGGAAGATGGCAGTGCTCTCCATCCAGGATCATCCTCCAACAGTTAAGATCCCATCCCTCCTCACTGGCCTGGCTCCAGAAAGGGGAGCAGGGCAGCTCCAGCCCTTTCCCTGCCCTGCCTGGGGAGCTGAGAGTTCCCTGCACGCTCCTTGCAGGGCTGCAGATCCCAAAATCAACCAGTACTATGAAAATCAAAATAAAACCCAAGCCAGTATTGCTAGAGCAGAGGTGGAGCCAGGTTTTGGATAAAGCTCTGGAATTCTCCGGGCAGGGAGACACAGAGGGGGCTCTTCCACCCCTGTTCCCTGAAAATCCTGCAGGAAGGCTCTTGGGAATCAGCACTGGGAGCCTCAGGCTCATCTCCCTCCCAACCTCTCCCGGCCCTCCAGAGCCAACTCCACCAGCAGCAGGCAGGGCTGAGGGGAAGGGGCAGGGGGAATGGGTCACCAGGATGCTGTGGAGCACCTTGGATCAACACTGCCCCATTCCCAGGGAGGGATTACAACAGGGAGACGCAATCCCTTATTTCTGAAGGGATAAGGAGCTCGGGGCTGGGATCCTGCACGGACAGACATTCCATGGGCAACAAGCACCTGGATCCAATCCAGCTGCTCCTGCCGAGTGCCAGCATGGCACAACGATCCTGCCTGCTCCCTCACAGGCAGACAGCTCTGGTGAGGGAAGGGAAAGGCCCAGAAACATCCAGGAAAGGCCCAGAAACATCCCACAATGGCCCAGAAATATCCCCGCACTTCCCCCCACCTCAGAGTCCGACCCGCCGCTCTGGGATCCAGCTCCTGCCTCCTGCCCCATTCCCAATCCACATGTTCATTTGCTTGGGTTGTGTAAAAAATAAACTTTCTTAATAATGTTCCATAAAAATACTCTTGTCCCAGGTGGCAGATATTGCAGTGTGAAGGGGAACAGCTTCTGACCCCGCTCTAGAAAACGTGGAAAAGGCTTCGCGCTGCTTCATGTAGAAAAACACAAGGATTTGGTATTCCAAGAGCCGGTACAAAACGAGGAAGGGAGGGTTTCACTGGATGCTGGATGCCATCCTCGAGGGCTCCTCTGAACCACTCTTCAGTCTCATCCTGGGATTCAGGTGAAGAAGGCAGCTCCAGCCTCCAGCACAGGGCGGTCAGGACAGCCTGACATCTCTAGAAAAATCCTTGGAGAGTTTAAAAAAAGATGCTCCGTGCTGCCTTCCTCCTTTTTGAAAGGATGTGGCTGACTCCAGTCCCAAATGAGGGTGTTTGGCATCCAATCCATCAGTTTCAGGCACCTATTCTGTTGCAACAGAGAGCAGGGAGGAGTGTGCCAAAAAGCATCTAATAATAAATAGATCTGGACACGGGGATATGCTCCCAACATGGATATTAAATGCCCATCCAAGGATTGATCCCAGCCCAGCGGCGCCAGCTCCTCTCTCCACAGCTCTCTGCTCACTCACTCTGACAGCTGAAGAGGCTCCACCTTTTTAAACAAGGTGGGATTTGTCTGGAGAGCAGCAGGAACAGAGGCAGCTCCGAAGGGCTCCCGGAATGTGCAGAAGGAGCCAGGGCAGGGAGAAGGATCAGCCTCAGTTCTCAGAGAGGGACAGAGCCAGGGCTGCCTGCAACGCTGCCTCCTCATCGATGTTGTAATCCTGAAAATCAAACAGGGAGCTGAGGAGAGCTGGCACAGCCAGGGCACACTGTCCCCTTGGAGCCCTGCCCGCTCCCAGAGCCTCCATCCCTCCGGCACACAGACCCCAGGAACGGCACCCCTGCTCTTTGGGGTGTCCTTTGTGCCTGCATCCCTCTCCTGCCTGGAATTTCCCACCTGGCAGGAGGGATGGAACATGCCCACACAAGCTGAGGCCAAAGGGTGAAGCTTTCTAGCAAGGCCAGGGGTTTTAGCAGAGCTCCAGGTCAGGTTTATCCACCAGAAGTCAGGATATTCCTCTGTAAAAGCCTGGAAGTTCTTTTCCCTGACATCTATCCAACAAAAGCAAGATGGGAACAGAGCCTCCCCTGAGGCCAAGGCTGAGCCATCACAACTGCCCCCCACACAGGAGGGGTCAGGGACCCCCCACATGCAGCCCCCCCCAAACGCCGGGGCTGGGCTGGTCCCACCCCCTGCTCCCAAAACCTCCAAGAAAAGAGATTTTGTGTTAGAATTCCTCAGGGGAAGAGTTTCATGGAAAAAACCCATCTTGTGGAGCACAGGAACAATTCCCTCTGCTCCTGGTGTGTGAGGACAACCTGGTGGGTGTGGGGGGGGTCTCATGGGTGTGCCCAAGGGGATGGGAAGAGCTGGTTTCACCTCCTGGCACAGAGCACAGGGAGGAGGTTCCCCCTTCTTTAGACACTCACCACGAAAGTGTCGTAGGAGAACTTGTGCCTGTGGAGCAGGTGCTGCAGGAAGTTTGCACTCTTGTAGCTGGGATCCCCCCAGGGCATGGCCGAGCACACCGGGCACACCTGTGGGGACATGGACATGGAATGGTGGCACCTGCACAGGGACCTCCCACAAAGGTCAGTGGTGCCCCTCCTCTGACAGGCTCCAAGCCCCAGTGTCCAGCCTGGCCTCAGACACTTCCAGGGATCCAGGGGCAGCCACAGCTGCTCTGGGAACCTGTGCCTGTTCCCTCACAGGGAACAATTTCTCCCTGATATCCAACCCAAACCACCTCTCTGGCAGTTTGGATCTGCTCCCCCTTGTCCTGTCATTCCAGGCCCTTGCCAATAGCCTCTCTCCACCTTTCCTGGAGGTCTTGGTCTCCCTGAAGCTTCTCTTTTCCAGGCTGAACAATCCCAATTTTCTCAGCCTTTCCTCACGGCAGAGCTGCTCCATCCCTCTGCTCAACTTGGTGATCTCCTCTGGAGTTGCTCCAACAGCTCCAGGTCCTTCCTGTGCTGAAGATCCCAAGTTCCCCACCTTGGTGAACCCAGAGGGAACAGGGAGAGGAAATCCAGCACCACCTGGTTTGCAGGAGCAGGGGGATGGAGGCAGCTCATTCCAGGGAGCCTCTACCAAAGCAGAGACAGATCCCCACCTCCCAGAGGGATTTAAACCAGCTGGAACACAGAACCAGAACTCCGTGCTGGCGGCTTGGGATGCTGCAGCAGCCGTGGTGTGGTTGGATTTCCAGAGCTGTCCCACACATCCCAGCATCACTCACCACTTTGTTGGGGTCATTCCTGTGGTTTTCCATGCAGTGCTTCACCAGCTCCTGCTGGTCCAGGTTCCGGGCCCCGCAGTACGGACACACAAACGTGGAGCGATTGGGAATGTTGCTGAAGAGAGCAAGGATGAGCTCAGAGCTGAGGGAGGCCAGACTGACTCTTTCCAAACTAACACAGCAGAGGTCTGGCACAGCAGGAGCCAGCCCAGCCCCTTCCCACCCCACCTCCCTGCTTTGGTGGATCCTTCCCACGCTCCGTAACCCGGAGCAGCAGTGCCAGGAGGGAAAAGGTGCTGCTCTTCCTCCCACAACACACACCTGGATTTTAAGGCATGCAAGGAGGGACACGTTTCCCTACCCGAGGCACAGGAATACCTGGGAATAGGCTGGGATGTGGGGACAACTGGAACAAACTTGGGGCAGTTGGCCATCTGCTCCTGCACCTTGGCGCAGGACGAGACGTGAGAGCGCATTTTGGCCAGGGTCACCTGGAGAAGGAGGACAAGAAACACTCCTGGAGGTGCAGAATAATAATAATAATCCTATTCCAGGATAGAGCTGGCTCTGCTCAGCTGAGGTGGGATTGACCTCTGGTCCACATGGGATGACCCACAGCAGTGGGAATGCTGCACCCACCCGTCCTTCCTTGCAGGACAGAGATTTGGGGCTGCAGGGATCCCCAGAGGTTCTGTCCCTGTTCCCTGGGAGTGGAGCCTGACCCCCATCTGGCTGCCCCCTCCTGGCAGGGAGTTGTGCAGAGCAAGAAATTCTCCCTGAGCCTCCTTTTCTGCAGGCTGAGCCTCCCCCAGACCCTTCCCCAGCTCTGGACACATTCCAGAGGACGATGGGGACGATGGGGACAGGCACTTTTACCTTCTTGCTGCAGCCTCTGCAGGGAGCCTTGTAGGACGAGAGCTGCTTCTCCACGCTGGAAGCCTTCTCCACCTTTTTGGGGTCGAAGGGCACGCGGCAGAGCGGGCACAGCGGGGAGGGCACCTGCAGGCAGGGCTGCAGGCATTCCCCACAAAACCTGGGGGCACACAGCAGCCCTGAGCACCCCGGGGACAGCAGGAGCCCAGCAGGGCACCCCGCTCCCCGGGACTCCCAACACCCCCAGAGCCAGGGATCAGCGTCCATACTGGGAGAACTGGGAGGTTGGGAGCAGGTGAGTCCCTGCTGGCACAGACAATTCCACTGCTCCGAGGCTGTGCCATCCTTTCTTCCTCACTGCTGACTATCCAGGCCAGGCAGGAACCTGGATCACCTCATTCCCAGCTCCTTACATCCCCAAGAGCAAAGGAATCCAAGGGCTGAGGAGTCCCAGCAGCCCAGAGGAGGTGAAGGAAAACACCAACAGGCAAAGGAGCCCCGTCCCCAAAACCCGATTTATCCTGGCATTCCTGGCCCCAGCTCCAGCCACCAGGACCTGGGAATGAAACTCCCCAAAGCCTCTGCCACTGCCAGGGGAGCGGGGATGGGGAGAGGGGATCATGGAGGGGTCAGGAATCGCCCCCAGCCCCAAACAAGCAGGAGCTCCAAACAAAGCCACAGCTCCTCGGGAACGTCCCCAAAATGAGACGGAAAATGGGATCAAGGTGTCCCCGAAATGCTGGGGGGGACACGTGAACAAGGGTTTGGGGAGTCCTGGGGACGGGAGCCAGGCCTGGGAGCAGAGGGAATGGAAGGGGCGGGATGGCGATCCCGGTGTGGGATGGGAGGAGGGTCCCGGTATTTGACTGAGGGCGAGAGGGGGGTCCCGCTACCGAACCATCCCCGGAGCCCACCGGGGTTACCGGGCAGAGCCCGCAAGGATCCCACGGCCGGCACAGCGCCCAGCCCCGCCTCCCGCCCGTCCCCGGGGCCGCCTCAGCCCGGGGGTTTCCGGGGGTCCC